TACGGTCAAGCGCAACCTGCTGAACAAAACGCGCTGAGTTTCAGCTCGATTGGTTCAATAGTTCGTGAGATATGAGAAAATGTGGGAAAAAACTTATTTTTGCACATTGCAGCTAATAGTGCTATTCGGTCAAACGCAACCTGCTGAGCACAACGCGCTGAGTTTCCGCTCGATTCGTTCAATAGTTCGTGAGATATGACAAAATGTTGGAAAAAACATATTTTTGCACATTGCAGCAAATAGTGCTATTTGGTCAAACGCAACCTGTAGAGCACAACGCGCTGAGTTTCAGCTCGATTGGTTCAATAGTTCGTGAGATATGACAAAATGTTGGAAAAAACTTATTTTTGCACATTGCAGCAAATAGTGCTATTCGGTCAAGCGTAACCTGCTGAACACAACGCGCTGAGTTTCAGTTCGATTGGTTCAATAGTTCCTGAGATTTGAAAAAATGTTGGAAAAAACTTATTTTTGTACATTGCAGCAAATAGTGCTATTCGGTCAAACGCAACCTGCTGAACACAACGCGCTGAGTTTCAGCTCGATTGGTTCAATAGTTCGAGAGATATGACAAAATGTTGGAAAAAACTTATTTTTGCACATTGCAGCAAATAGTGCTATTCGGTCAAACGTAACCTGTTGAGCACAACGCGCTGAGTTTCAGCTCGATTGGTTCAATAGTTCGTGAGATATGACAAAATGTTGGAAAAAACTTATTTTTGCACATTGCAGCAAATAGTGCTATTCGGTCAAACGCAACCTGCTGAGCACAACGCGCTGAGTTTCAGCTCGATTGGTTCAATAGTTCCGTGAGATATGACAAAATGTTGGAAGAAACTTATTTTTGCACAGTGCAGCAAATAGCACTCTATTCGGTCAAACGCAGCCTGCTGAGCACAACGCGCTGAGTGTCAGCTCGATTGGTTCAATAGTTCGTGAGATATGACAAAATGTTGGAAAAAAAATATTTTTGCACATTGCAGCAAATAGTGCTATTCGGTCAAACGCAACCTGCTGAGCACAACGCGCTGGGTTTCTGCTCGATTGGTTCAATAGTTCGTGAGATATGACAAAATGTTGGAAAAAACTTATTTTTGCACATTGCACCAAGTAGTGCTATTCCGTCAAACGCAACCTGCTGAGCACAACGCGCTGAGTTTCAGCTCGATTGGTTCAATAGTTCGTGAGATATGACAAAATGTTGGAAAAAACTTATTTTTGCACATTGCAGCAAATAGTGCTATTCGGTCAAACGCAACCTGCTGAGCACAACGCGCTGAGTTTCAGCTCGATTGGTTCATTAGTTCGGGAGATATGACAAAATGTTGGAAAAAACTTATTTTTGCACATTGCAGCAAATAGTGCTATTCGGTCAAACGCAACCTGTTGAGCACAACGCGCTGAGTTTCAGCTCCATTGGTGAAATAGTTCGTGAGAAATGACAAAATGTTGGAAAAAACTTATTTTTGCACATTGCAGCAAATATTGCTAAACGGTCAAACGCAACCTGCTGAGCACAACGCGCTGAGTTTCAGCTCGATTGGTTCAATAGTTCGTGAGAAATGACAAAATGTTGGAAAAAACTTATTTTTGCACATTGCTGCAAATAGTGCTATTCGGTCAAACGCAACCTGCTGAGCACAACGCGCTGAGTTTCAGCTCGATTGGTTCAATAGTTCGTGAGATATGACAAACCGTTGGAAAAAACTTATTTTTGCACATTGCTGCAAATAGTGCTATTCGGTCAAACGCAACCTGCTGAGCACAACGCGCTGAGTTTCAGCTCGATTGTTGCAATAGTTCGTGAGATATGACAAAATGTTGGAAAAAACTTATTTTTGCACATTGCAGCAAATAGTGCTATTCGGTCAAACGCAACATGCTGAGCACAACGCGCTGAGTTTCAGCTCGATTGGTGCAATAGTTCGTGAGATATGACAAAATGTTGGAAAAAACTTTTTTTTGCACATTGCAACAAATAGTGCGATTCGGTCAAACGCAACCTGCTGAGCACAACGCGCTGAGTTTCAGCTCGATTGGTTCAATAGTTCGCGAGATATGACAAAATGTTGGAAAAAACTTATTTTTGCACATTGCAGCAAATAGTGCTATTCGGTCAAACGCAACCTGCTGAGCACAACGCGCTGAGTTTCAGCTCGATTGGCTCAATAGTTCGTGAGATATGACAAAATGTTGGAAAAAACTTATTTTTTGCACATTGCAGCAAATAGTGCTATTCGGTCAAACGCAACCTGCTGAGCACAACGCGCTGAGTTTCAGCTCGATTGGTTCAATAGTTCGTGAGATATGACAAAATGTTGGAAAAAACTTATTTTTGCACATTGCAGCAAATAGTGCTATTCGGTCAAACGCAACCTGCTGAGCACAATGCGCTGAGTTTCAGCTCGATTGGTTCAATAGTTCGTGAGATATGACAAAATGTTGGAAAAAACTTATTTTGGCACATTGCAGCAAATAGTGCTATTCGGTCAAACGCAACCTGCTGAGCACAACGCGCTGAGTTTCAGCTCGATTGGTTCAATAGTTCGTGAGATATGACAAAATGTTGGAAAACTTATTTTTGCACATTGCAGCAAATAGTGCTATTCGGTCAAACTCAATCTGCTGAGCACAACGCGCTGTGTTTCAGCTCGAGTGGTACAATAGTTCGTGAGATATGACAAAATGTTGGAAAAAACTTATTTTTGCACATTGCAGCAAATAGTGCTATTCGGTCAAACGTAACCTGTTGAGCACAACGCGCTGAGTTTCAGCTCGATTGGTTCAATAGTTCGTGAGATATGACAAAATGTTGGAAAAAACTTATTTTTGCACATTGCAGCAAATAGTGCTATTCGGTCAAACGCAACCTGCTGAGCACAACGCGCTGAGTTTCAGCTCGATTGGTCCAATAGTTCGTGAGATATGACAAAATGTTGGAAAAAACTTATTTTTGCACATTGCAGCAAATATAGACTAGGCGAAAAATTCAAGAAGTCGATTATTTAAAGTGCATGAGGCATTTCTTAGTAAAAGTTGGCGACAAGTGTCTTCTTATGTAGTTTTTGACGCTGAATCCGAATTTCATGATCGCCAACTCTGATTTTGCGTTTGGATCAAGATAATGACGTCATATTAATGACGTCATGTGACTGACACTAGAAAGACGCTCTCTTACTTGTTTGTGTCTATTTCGAAATTGCAAACGCTATTTTCTCTTTTGTGAGTTGTTAAAAGAGGGTCCTGAAGGGGGGGGGGGTCCCAATCCCATTTCCCACATGAAATTTTGGCAAAATCACAGTCCCAGTTGGATTTTTATTAAAAATCCCAGTCCTAGTTATTGAAATCCCAGTCAATAAAAAAAGTTATTTATCGGTATAGAATAAACAGTTTTAAGACCTTTTAAGCCACCGTCTGTGCGCACCGTGTGGCAGAAGCGGTTAATGCGCTGTCTCTTGCCACTGAATTAAGCCCGCACTTGATTTTAGTGTTATACAGTATATAAAAATACTCACAGACCTGCCAACCTTAGCAACTGATATATAGGGAGAATTCTTATTTAAACACTTAATTTGGCGAGAGAATTGGCTGTTTAGAGGGAGAAAACCCATCAAAGCCGTTTTCATTACAGCAGTCAGATTAGTGGCTCGTTCAAACTCCTAGCTACACTCGCAGCACAAGAAACCCCTTGACTAATTTAAATTGGGCATTATCTTGGACTGAAAATACAACATGAAGACGTGTTTTAACAATTAAATACTTCGATTTTGACTTTCCGAACATTGTAGAATCTAAAATCAGTGAAGTCATTACAATAAATGAATGAAACAAAACGCAGCCGCGCGTAGATATTTCTCGATAAAATTCAATAAGATCGACAAGAAATCAGGACAATTGCCAATACCGGGAGAAATTGTTCACTACCGAGGGAGACCGGGAGATCACATGTCTATACCGGGAGACTCCCGGCAATGTCAGAAGGGTTGGCAGGTCTGAGTTACTCCTCTTTTAATTATAATTTTCTGCTAATATATATTTTTGGTCGACGTTAATATTTTATCAGTTCCATATTCTTATTTAATAATTAACACTATAACACCTGGGTATCCCCATTTGACGAGTAAAAATGAAAATGGGGGGGGGGGGAGGATCAAAGAAAAAATTCTAATATGCAAGGGGGTCAGCATTAAATTTCTGCTCTTTTAAGGGGGGGCTTTCAATTTTAAAAATTTGGGAAAGAAAAAATTCCCCTTCCTCGTTCCATAAATAATGACCGGTCCCCAAAGACACCAAAAACGGATCAAAATTGTAATTTAAAATACTTAAAACGTGGGAAAATTGGGAATCTACTCGCAATACCTCAATCCCATTCCCATTTTTGAGGACTCATTTCCCATTCCCAGTGGCCAAATCCCAGTCCCAGCAACCCAAAACCCATTTTCCCATTCTAAAAATAGATCAATCCCAGTTCCCGTTTTACCCCTTCAGGACCCTCTTAAAAAAGCTAATAGACCAGAAATAAGCATAAAGTTTACGAATAACACGAAATAGCCGATTAAATCAATTAAATAAACAAATAAATTGAGTAAAAGCAGACTTTAATTTTACGGCAAGAAATGAAGCTGATGAAACCAAATTTTTTTTAGTCTTTAAGAGTTTTGAACTTCTCACGATCGTGGCATAAGTATATTTGAAAACAGAACTGGAAATAGTTTTTGAAAAAAAATATTAAAAAAAAATTACAACCCAGACAAACAAACGTCTCAAGAGTAGAGAATGGGTTCGTAGACTAGATGTTGGCGCCGTCTTGGCGGCGCCTGTCTGATCTGAAAAATGTATTAAAAGGCTTTGCATTTTCTTCTTGATTTAATATATTTCACCGTTAGAGGACAATATAAATTTGCGAAGTCTGTTTTCTTAATTGCATGGGAAAAATTGGTTCAGTTTTGCTGTTATTGTTTGTTGCGGATCTTGTGGTCTTCAACTTTCGAGCCGCAAAGATGGATCCCGTTATAACGTTAAAAAGATCTTCACAAATCGACGTAAATGCTTGTATTTTCTGCCAGACCAGTCTTAAAGATCAACATTTGAGAGCTGCTACTGATTATAGCAGAACGGTAGTTCGCGATGCCATGAATTTGCGGAGCAAGTTTAGAGATGTTGGGAACAGGGAAACAATCAGTAGGCTGGAAGAAGTCATAAATAGTATTGATAGTTCAATCGTCTGGCATGTCAAATGCTATTCCCTATTTACAAGCAAAGACAAAATTCAGCGCCTGGAGAAAACGTGCAACAAAGATGAGGCGACTGCAAGACCAAACTCAAGTCCGAGTAAACCGCGTGCGCAAACAGAGCAAGTTGATTGGGATAAATGTGCTTTCTGTCAGGTTCATACGAATGAGCACTTATCGTCGGTTATGACATTTAAGATGAGTGAACAAATTATTGAAATTTCTAAGTTTGACAAAATACTGTGCGCTCGATTTGCGGGTATCTCAAATCATTGATAGCCGCTGAAGCCAAGTACCATTTATCATGCTTCAGTGCATCTAAAAGATCAAGGGATAAGACAAAGAGTGAAATAAACAACAATGATTTAGCATTGGTTTGGTTTTCCAAAGAATTGGAGTATGCTGCTGACAAGGGCCATGTTATTAGACTTGATGACGTATGGGAAAGATACACTATATTAGCCGAAAAAGCGGGCAACACGCTTCCCTCTCTTTTATCAGTCGAAGGGCGACTTTTCAGGACAAACTTATGCATATGGTTGGAGACATCATAGAGTGCGTGCAATCATTTGAAAGGGGGCCGTCTGAGCGTCACACCTTGCTAATTCCCAAAAAGTGCGCTAAAATGGCTCTTTCCCAGTTAGTAGCCCAGGGTACAGCTGACGAAGAAGACGATGAACTAACTCTGCCTGTTTATCACCAACAAGACGATCTCCTCTCTCTTGCTCATGTTGCGTTGATGATACGATCTGATGTGCGGGAGACTCCAGGTTACAATGGACTCGACATAGGCATGCACGATGTCGGTGATTGTGTTCCCGAAAGTCTGCAAATGTTTCTAAATCTTTTGTTCGGAGGTGAACGACTTTTAGATGAGGAAACAATTGAAAGAAAAGAAAATGAAGTTCGCAGTAAAGCGCTTGCCGTTGCTCAAGATATTGTGTACGGAGTAAGCAACGGTAAGAAATGGACACCTAAGCACATTGGCTTAGGGAGCACCCTTCACCAAGTCACAAGATCGAAAGATCTAGTTAAACTTTTTTACAAGGCAGGACATATTCTGAGTTATGACCAAATTCTTCAACTTGATACGGGTTTAGCCGAGAGTGTTTTAAACACTTTGGATGAAAAAACCGGAACCGTGATCGCGCCAAATTTGGTGCAAGGTAATTTCGTACACTTCTCTGCTGATAACATTGATATTTTGAATGAAACGCTGGACGGTAAGAACACGTTTCATGCCACACAAATAGCTGCATGGCAACGTGGGGCAGAAATTTCGTCGTTACTTGACGGTGTAAATCCATCCAAAAAGCGAAGTCTGAATATTTCAGAATCGATGGACAAGATTGAAACGATTGTAGCAAGATAAAGCAATCCTGTCTTCATTAAAGCAGTTAAGACGACGTGGTATGACCAAGCTGAAGATAAGAAAGAATGTAAACAAGCTACCAAAGCTACTGATTTGGCATTCAATATGCTGCGAAGCAAGGTGTGATCAGAAGCGGATGGACGGAGTTTAACCAGTCGCTATCACGGGGAGAAGTTGGCGACAAGTTCGGGCATGAAGTAACAAAGGTAGGGTACATGCCAATCATACAAGCACCCGCGCACGAAATGGATACCTTGAACACGGTCGTTAAGAAATGCATGCATGTGGCCACCGTGCTTGGACAACAGTACACTATTATCACCGTAGATCAGGCACTGTACTGCAAATTAGTCGAGTTGAAATGGGCAATTCCAGAATATCGAGAGAAACTTGTCGTGCAACTCGGCGGTCTCCATATATCTATGTGTTTTCTAAGACCATTGGAGATCATATGAAGGGATCAGGCCTTGTTGACTCATGGATAGAGAGTGGTCTCCTAGGACCAAATGCGGCTTAGACTGTGATGAACGGCAAAGCGTATAAGAGAGCAATGCGTGCGCATAAGATAACACTGCAAGCCCTATGGCGCCGTTGTTCCCGCTGTTACTCAAGTTTTGCAAAACGATCAATATAACATAACATAACATAACATAATAGTTTATTCACCAAATATATAATTATTTACAAAAGTATATACATATATTTGGATGGTGCTCAGCAAAAAAAAACCAAGGAGCTTGTAAAACGCTAAACACCATGGTGGCATATAGATGTTATAAATAGTTAGAGGTCGCGGTTTTGGCATTGTTACGACATAGATGAATAGAGCAAAAGATTGAGATTAAGAAACAAATTCAGAATATTACAATATATATAACTCAGTTAAATTAACCTTTAGCTATTTGCCTCCATGAGGAAATTTCTGAGTTTGAATTGAAAGGAACTGGGTGAATGAGACTGAGTAATAGATTTATTGAGGGAATTCCAGAGAATTGAGCCACTATGCTTAAGAGTTAGCTTTCTAGTAGTAGTTCGCACCTTCTTTATATGAATCTTAGCAGCGTTTCGAGTATTATAGTGATGAACATCTTTATTATAAGAAAAATATTGGAGAAACTGAGATAATAAGGAAAAGGATTGATTAAGGCATTTGAACATGAAACATCCAATTTGATATTGGTTAAGTTGGTATACATTTAATAATTTAAACAAAGAAAATAGTGGTTTAGTATGATCCCTGAAGCCAGCTGCAGCAATAATTCGAACAGCTCGCTTTTGTAATTTGAGGATCCTGTCGAGGTAAGTGTGATAACAGTTGGCCCATACAATATTGATCTTGCACTGCAGATTTCGCGTCTTTTGTCGTGAGAGCAGAATGTTAATGATTTGATTACATGTTTGAAGTCGCCACAATTTCAAACGGTGTACGACGAGTTCTTAACGCAGAAGTGTCAGGAAAATGTCAATTTTCAGTTCTGGTGGAACTATATGGAGATGATATTTATCCTACTCGATTTTACCCGTGCGCAGCGGGAGGGAGATTTGGAGTTGTATCTAGACAGCTTCCGCGTGCAATGCTTCCATACTTTTTCAGGTACGACCACCTGAATTATGCCAAGTGGGGGTCGGTATTTATCGCCGAGATGGAACAATTGCCGTATGAAGTGTTACAGGAGTTTAAGAAGGGTAACTTCGTTGTAAAGTGGAAAGAGGGCGCTTTCAATGAAGTAAGTGCTGACCACAGCCTCGAGTAGTTGAACGGCATTGGTAAACGAGGAGGTGGAATTGTTGGTATAACTAAGACATCTTCAGCCTTGAGCAGGTGCGTTAACGGTTTTAATAAATACATTTTATGTACTGTTTAATAAACGAGCGGCTTTAGACCTAATAAAACACGACCTGCGAGTTTATCAAAACGGCTTCAAACACGACTACAAATTCAATAGATATAGTGCCTTATTAGTATTCTTTATATAAAGAATACTAATTAGGAGTGTTTTTATCAGGTTTAAATTAAAGCCACTGCACGTGGCATATTATGGTTGACATGATTTGCCAATAAGCTTATGAATTATTAATGAGTGTTTGAAATTCAGTTCCTTATTTCAAGTGTCCAAATAATGCTAAATCGGCCGCAAACATGCAGCCTTAATCGGCCAGTTACTTATTTGGACAACTGATTATTTGTGTAGTACAAAACCGGTTTGAGATCGATACTCACGTGTGCACTATTTAAAGTGGCACTCTCATCAAAATTTTTATTCTCTTAAACAAAAATGCTCTTAAAGCTGTATAGTAACTTGTTTTGAAGATATTTGTTTCCATGCTTAGTTTTTGAGATATGTCATTTTGTTTGTAACCATGTGACGTCATTTACTCAATTACATATATAATGAGATATTGTTAATTGTTGTGTATCTTTGCTAATTTTTTATGGATTTGTTTATAAAAACAGTATATTTAATGAAATAGGTTAAATTAACAAACGGGCCGCATATTTGGAAATATTCTGATAGAAATGGCAAAGATACACAAAAATTACTGATATCTCATTATATATGTAGTTGAGTAAATGACGTCACATGGTTACAAACAAAATGAAATATCTCAAGAACAAAGCATGGGAACAAAAATCTTTAAAACAAGTTATTATGCAGTTTTAAGAGCATTTTCGTTTAAGAAAATAAAAATTTTGACGAGAGTGACACTTTTAATAAAGTGTCAAAATACGGAACAACTTGTAAAATATATACAATAATACCTACAATTATATATTTACCAAATGGTGTAAAATTTATTATTTTTTGCTTCCAAGGTGGGCTCTGTCATATAATTTGCGGTTGGAGATTGCTGAGAAAACTCATGAGATGTTTGGCCTGGTTCAAGAGGATACGTATTCTCACAACGAATCTGCGCCTGCAAGGATTGTTCACGACAATTAATAAGGATGAAGAATCACTCATTTCCGTCTTCGAGCAGCATCATGTGTTTTCAACAACATCCCATCCAGAATGTCTTTTCAGCATCGCTACGAAAGATTTGGCCACCTTCGAGATTCAGGAATCACTGTTAGGCGCAAAAGATATGGGACAGAAACAAGTTATAAGACTTTGTACAGCAAAGGTTGACTGAACCACTTCAACAGCAACCTAATAACGAGCAAGGGGATACCAAGGTTCAATTTACGGATACAATGCACAAGAACAATATTCTTACTTTCGATTCGTTGTATCGTTGCTTACGGAGCTGGTCGAGAAGTAGATTTACATAATGTTTTGTCGCATGAGCTAATGTCCGTACCCATATCATTAGCGGATACGAATGGTAAACTTAGAACTGGCCAGAAAGCAGCGCTGGCTGATGTTCTCACCAGGGGAATTGAATGTCCGAGTGCTATTGATTTGCAAGGAAGTGCATATTTACTGAATGACGGCATGGCGTTAGTAGCAGCAGTAGGAAAACCGGCCGACGCTCAAACCTTCAGAGCCTACGCAGATAGATTCCAAGATGCCGTATTGGGAGCAGGTTCACGTACTATTCGACAGGTACGAGAAAAGTTCAATCAAAGCAGGCACGAGAGAACGCCGTACCAGGACTATTCGCCCGTTCGTCGTGTAATTGAGAACAAGAATGTTCCACTTCCGAACAGCTGGTCAAATTTCTTAGCTTTACCGGAAAACAAGGCAAACTTGGCCAAATTTCTGTCCGAACATTTAATTGCAAATGCACCTCAAGAGAAAGTCGTTGTTGTTGCAGGTGGATTTTCCGACGGGAAAGAAGCGCTATCGACAAACCAATTGATTGATGCTTCTCTTTTGTGCGCAGATCACGAACAAGCTGATACAAGACTGGTTCTACATGCTATCGTCAACAGTTGTGACACGGTTGTTGTGTCTGCCAGAGATACTGACGTACTGTTACTTCTTGTGGCGCATTTACCAAGTATGCCTTCTCCAAATGTGTGGATGATGGCAGGAACAGCGGCCAGGCGCAAGTTCTTTAACATCAGGGCGATAAGCGAGAATCTTCCCGCAGGATCACTATCAGCGCTCCTCCCTTTCCGTGCGCTGACTGGTTGTGACACAACGTCATATATCTCCAACCACTCCAAATTGTCAGCGTGGAAGACATTTCAAGACAAACATTACCTTCTAGCGTCGCTAGGTGAAGGAGAACTATCGGCCAACAAAGTCAGGGATGCCGAAAAGTTCATCTGTGCGATTTACACCTGCGGGCACATGGAATCAGTGAATGATTTTCGAGTTCTTCTCTTTTCGAAGACAAAGAAACCTGAAGCGTTGCCTCCGACCAAGGACGCACTGGAATTGCATATCAAGCGCGTGCACTATCAATCACTCGTGAGGAAACAAGCTTCATGCCAGGACCCTATCCTGCCAAACCCGGACGGAATGGGATGGAAGAGAGAAAGCGAAGGCGGCAGTAAACTCGTCCCTCTCCTTATGACAAAGGAACCCATTCCGAACGCATGCAAGGAAATTATATCCTGCTCTTGTAAAAGTGGCTGCACGACATTACGCTGTGGCTGCAAGAAAGCAAAGTTGTTCTGTACTGGCGTCTGCGGCTGCTCTGTGGACGAAAAAAATTCCTGCAAGAACAGATGCGATAAGTGAACAGAACAGTGAGGTATGATCAGAATTTAGGATACGCGCTAAGTATATTAGGGAGCTTTCCATGCATTATGTCATATAACTAACTACTTTGATATTTAACCGCAATGCATTTTGCAACGTTATATAGACTTTTAATGATAATGAGCATTTATTGATTTTTTTTTAACATTTTTTGCCAACATAAAGGTGAAAGATATTTGCGATTGAAAATGGCTTAAACATGCTGTAATTGGATGAGTAACAAATCTAAAATATTTCTTTCTCTTGAATCTATATGCGCTGTGACGTCATATGTAGACGAAAGTTGTGACGTCATTTTCGACTACTCAACTGCAGATTGAGATCTGGCGACCATCATTTTCGAATTCA